TAGGTATCGTATGATATGCAACAGTCGAAGACACTGTTCAACGTAAAGCATGATGTGTTCTGAAAACTCATCGACGAGCAACATTGGGCTTGAATACGGTGGGCTGTCAAGCCCGCCGCGACAGCGTCCTGCGATTCGGTCCAGAACACGTCGATTCCTTATCTGGGATCAGAAAAATGAGGGCTTCCACCGCCATGACCGCGGCAGAAAGATGAAGGCTGTAGCAATATTTGGTTGCCCAACTTCGAACGTTGTCTAGCAGGCATCCTGTTCCTCGAGGCTAGCGGGTTGATTTCGGTCCCTATTTACAGTGTCTCACGTCTAGCTACTTTAGGATATTGCTGCAAATAGGCGTCTCTCCGATAGCCCTCCATGACTCTCATCGGAGATTTGGCGTCATTTCCTTGTGTTGGCTGGGCAAGTATGTGCCGTCAACCCAGATATCGCCTGGCTCATTTTTCGTCTACCAAAGCATCTAGTCCTACTCGTGGGCTGGTGCTCGACAACCGGCAGTTGAACAGCGCGTCATGCATCGGTATGCTTTTGCCAGGAATCTGTACATCATCACAATGGAAAAGGCCTCACGCCCGTAACCAAATGCACCTCATCGCGATGGGAAGACAGTGGGCCATACTTGCACAGCCGTCATATACCGCTCAATTTTCCCCGCTTCCCATCGACCGGCCCCTGGTCCAACCAGGGATTTGCTCACAAAACGCGCCGTTGGTCTAGTGGTATGATTCTCGCTTAGGGTCACACCCTGAAGCATTGCTTGCGAGAGGTCCCGGGTTCAATCCCCGGATGGCGCCCAATCTTTTGCCCATGCGGGCTCTGGTCGATGTATCGACTTGTTGCTCGAGATTTCTTTTTTGGGAGAGGGATGCTGCCTTGGGAGAATTGGTTTCGACGCAGCGTTGTGAAGTTGTCTTTCCACTTGGTGGCACGTTTGGCAAGCATGGCTCTCCGAATGCCCCAACGCCCACATCCACGGATAGCATAAGTCGTGAGTGAAAATGGCTCGTACTTTGAAGAACTTGTGTGTGGCCATCTCTGGAGGCCCGGATTTGCGAGTATATGTCTTGACCAGTGATGGTTGGCAGTTGCACGACCCCTGTCAAAGTCGCAACCATGACAACAACCTGCACCACATACCTTCAAGCTTCAGACGAGCTGTTGGCGAAGATGCCCTCGCGGTGCGGGGAGCGCTGCCAGCAGATTTGGCTGCATCACGTCTTGTCATTTATTGTATCAGTCACGTCAACACCACCTTTCGCATTCATGAGGCGGGGTGGGTGCCTAGAGCCCCTCTTCTGACTGTTGGTCTGGCTCTTGCCGTGGGAATAAGTCACCATCAACCTTCGAGGTGCATGCATCGAGGTGCATGCATCGAGGTGCATAAATCATGAAAGTGGAATGATAGTCCCTACTGCCACTCTATCATGGCTTCTGCTGTCGCTGCTGCCCGACTGTGGACGCCCCAGCGGACAAACAGCCAAACGTCCTATGTGTACTGCTTCCGGGTCCGGGTCGAGCAGATCCCCTACCCACCTCTCGGCCGGTTGCTAACACGGGCGAACGGATTCATGCACGTACATAGGGCTGGGCGTTCTCCTGGAAAAGGACTACGTGCACGCGGCTATGGGAATCGAGGGCATGGGAAGAGAGGGATGCTGCTCGACCCGAACCAGCACATCTCTCCTCGCCCTCTGGCCCCACGCATGAACCCGGCGTCCTTCCGGCTGAGCATTGTGCAGGGTGAATAGCAAGCACCGGAACCTGCGGCGTATACATCCAGTTCACTTTGCTTTGTAGCCAGTATACGCGTGTAACGTATCATGCCACCAGGCACTTTACCTCGATGTTTTCGTGGGGCTGGACCTTGACAAGTCGAGTGAGGTGAGGGTAACATTTTGGTATGCAGACCACGAATATGCTACTTCGATGGCTGGGCTGTGTGTGAGTTGAGTAGAGGGGTTTGGATCATGTGCTGTGACTCCTCCTCTGACTCTCCAGATGCTTGTCGACCATGCGTCGCTGGCCCAGTCAGTGCTTCCACAACAGCCAGTGTTGATCATGCTAATGAATGCAGGTACGTGCTCGCTCGTTTGCCTTGCTTGGCAAGCTTGGGTAGCAGGTGCAGGGCTAGAGACCAATAGAGGATGATCCAAAGCAGCACAAGTAGAAGGGAAAATCATATTCCGAGGGCAATGCATCATGGCCGATTCCTGCCGTCGTCTGTGGATGACAGACATCATTGGCCTAAAGTACCATCCCAGCCATGTGACCATCGAGTCGATGCAACGTAAAATATCATGTCTTCCTAACGCAAGCACTATTCGTAGATACAAGAGCATTGGATACAGAAAGCCTGGCAAAAGGCAAAAGTTGAAAAAAAAAAGGACACAATTAGAGCTAGACGGGACTCGAACCCGCAATCGCTAGAGCCGAAATCTAGCGCGATACCAATTTCGCCACCAGCCCCAGTGGTTGCGGGTCGGGGCTCGATGGGAGGGTATATGTACCTGATGTTAGCTCCGACCAGTGGGCATGAGCAGTATCTCCTAAAGATGCACCCAAACCGTTGTTTGCTGGTCGTTGATCACTTTCTTAATATCCTCACCATGGCCTACGCTACATGTATGCACCCATGTATCTAGCCGGCGAGCTCCCACCTTGTTGCATCCACAGAGGCACGCTCGGCTCGTTCCGACAGCCAGCAAAGGCCCAATCCTCCCCCTCCACCACCGACATCGGCTCCACAACGCTTGGGAACGTCTGCCGCTTCTACCCCACCCGCTTCCGCCCTCTGACTACCCTACAGAAAAGTCACATCGCAAAAACACCCCCCCCCCCCCGGCAGCGCAGACAACCGCCCTTTCCGGACCGCACGCGAAGCAGAGAGTGCCAGAGCAGCGGTGACTCGACGAGGTCGTCTTCGTGCAAACCCCCACGCTCCTTCGTTTTGGACCCCCCCGAAGACATTCCCATTCTGCGAGTCCTCCAGACCTTGATCGCTCGTTCACCGCCCGGGCATGTGCCCCCCGCCCCCCGGATGCGGGAGTTGCCCCCCTCCCAAGAAAGACTTGGATACCTATGGGGGACCGGTCAAGGGCCGCCGGGGGGCCTTGAGGGATCCAAGGGGGGGGACCTGTTTGGGCCCACGAAGCGGTTCAATTGGAAATGGATTGGGGGACCTGCCAAAAAAGGTTCGCCGGCCGCCAACAAAAAAAAAAAAAA